ACTCTACGAGATCTGTGTTATTCGAATGGAGAATATTTTCATTCATTGGAACGTTTGTATTGTATGTTTTCATACATATTTTTTACACAATACAAGATAGAAAATGTGGTAAATACGGGCGTTAATTTTTGTTTCATGAGTACAGTTTTCACTGCTAATATCGAAAATTCATTTTATTTGAGAATGAACACACACATGGTTGTACAACAGGAATATTCAATGATTCATTCAGTGTCTAGATTAGCCAAAAATCTAATATTGTTAACTGAATGTTGAGAGTCACGGTTTTTTATGATAATCTCAACAAATTAACAAACTGTCGCTACATCGTTAAAAATACAAACCAAAAAATTCGTACAATAGTTGTATATTTTCCTTATTGTTAGCCAAGTAACATATAACAAATAAATACAAACGAACATATCAGTCATATATATATTTCTGTGTTTATTAGAAATTAGATTAATAACAAAATAAAAATTGGAATTACTTCTTATTAAGCATATAATATAGATGGTTACAACATTCCAAAATGTATAAATCAACGGGCAGGAGGTGTTGATATTCAATACAAGCGAAAATATTTCAAGGTGCCAAGTAATTAATATCACATTTTACTTGTATTAAATACTAATCATACAAAATTGTGAAATGTTTATTTGTTCTTTGGTAAGGAATATTTTTATGTTAAAATATAAATTGCATGAAAATCACTTTCAATCAATTTAACTAAATTATATTTAAAAGCGTATGTAATATTTTGTACAAGATGTTAGAACAAATTCCACCTTTTTCTCAATATGTCAAACACTTTTAAGAACTTTTTTCATTGCTAACTTTATGATGTTATCTTACATTTAACTCCAGGAAATAAAATAATATCTCTTAGACTTAACACGAAACAAAATATTGTATTGCAAACAAGATAAAGTCTAATCTTTAATTAATGCAACTAATAGTGTAAGCATGTGCAGTGGCTAAAGGTAATTAACACAGGTTTGCAGTATAAAATATTAAACTGAATTCATTTTATATATGTAAACTGATAAATTATTCATCTTTTTAGCAAGTCATATAATCAGTAATAAAATTTTTAATCTGTAAAACTAGATATAATCAGGTAAAATCTGAATGGCACAATTGTGTGATAAATTATGTTGAGCAAGTAATGGCATAACGTACTTTTATGGTCAAGAATTAGAAAATTAGAGAGAAAAACAAAATATTTGAACCTCTCCCTAATCTGTTCAATATATTTAAAAAAGCGTTAATATTTTACTGTTTATTTTGAACTTTAACCGGTGGTTCTTTAAAATAAGAATTTTCTTTTATATTTAAGGTATGTTTACATTTGGCGGGAACACGGTTTACCAAATAGAACATGAAATTCCAATCGTAAAATGTTACTTTATTATAAAATAGTCATAAAAATAGTACTCCAAATTTAACTAAAGGAAAGGTATAATGATGAAAGCTTTCGATAGACAAAATGGGAGAAGTCAGTAATGTAGGGATTTCATTCTCCATGTAAAGTCGAGACGGGTTAATCTGCTATGATATGTCCACTTCCATCCCTGTTTTCTATGTTTCCTTTCTCGAAGGTCAGTAGTTCATAGTACTTTTCACTTACTGATAACTTTTTTCCTAATACTTCTTGTAGACTAGGTTTGGGGCAGTGTGGCTCAGTAGCTTCACGGTTTGGATTCATAGTCGGATAATCACTAGTTCGCGTCATACGTTAAACAAGACATTTTATCTTCATTATTTGAGTCTGTGTAACTGTTAGCTGAAGCTAACCTTTGGGGGATTGGTATCTCGTTTAAAGGGAATGTGTCATAATTTTCATTTACTTGTACCAATTAAGCTGAAGTTCAGTATCGGATTTTAAGTGCCATCTCAACATGGGAGGGTTTTGACTTAAGGATTGATTTGTATGCTAGCTTACTATAGTGTACTGTGTTCAAGTGTAAGCTAATATTGGACTTGAAAACGTTTAATGAATAACACCTTTAAGTATAAAGAAAGTAATAGAAAAAGTATGTATCAGTAATAATGACACGAGTTTTAAGTTAATATACTCCTTGTTGTTCAAGTCAGGTGGGAAGAAAATGTAGCAAGTTGGATCAAATAGAACTCCAAAGTTCATGTAAAATGAAAAACACGGGTGTATGAATCTTTCATTATTTATAAAGCAATGTTATACAAAGATTTACTTAAATCGCAGATAACTGTTTTTCAGCATGAAAAACTGTTTACATAAGATGGGTAAAAGTGACGTCCTATGTAGGGATGGCACAGAAACCCGTATTAAAACAATACAAAAATCACTGACCTTTCTTCTCTACAGATAAGCTAGATATGAAGAGCTACTTGGCATATTCGCTCTATATCCTGTGTATATTCCGCTTTTCAGCTAACCAGAGCTTCCCAAAGTCGAAACCCGCGAATACCCAAGATTTCTAATTTTTGTTCATCATTATCTTTCTTCAACAGCCTATTTAGTTTTAGCAGTAACTATAATTTTATCCTCATTTGATAGAGTAAAACATTCTTCACGATCCATGAGTATGTATTTTATTATTATTATATGCAAAATTTGTAAAGCTTTAGAATACACTCTATAACTTTGTAACCTACGTACACCATTTTATAAAAAAGTAAAAAACAAACAAACAAGTATTAGGAAAATAAATTATCGCTAAATAAAAAAAGCTATATAGGGCTGGGTTCTGAACTTGATAAAAAGGAACCAAACAAGATAGGAATGGAAGTGGACATATCACTTAATCCGGCTAATGATAACAAATAGCAAAGCACATGCCTTATATTAAATATATCAGGTTTTGATTTACTAAGAAAAACTACAGCTTAGTTAACGCTAGAGGAAATAATTATCTTTATCTCATTTGTTTTGCTTCTATAGTTACAACAGTAAGACAGTTTGTGATTGTTAAACAGTTTGAATAACAATACTGCACAAGAAGAGATCCAGTCTCGACACGCAATATTACTGCTAGTTGAAATTGAATATAAATATATTAAAACACAAAAGGCCAAATCTCCGGATATATATATATATATACATATACAAATATGCAGCATTAATTTCCATCCTTTATGTTTATAAATTTTATATATTCGTTTTTTTTTATTATTTGAAGTATTCAAAAGAAAACACATAAATGCAAATAACAACAAGTAGTCTAATAATCAATAACCACATCACTCATTTTAATCTTCTTAATTCAGGAATAATTTTAAAACATTTGCTTTATGTGGGAATCACGTGTTTATGCAAATGGCTGGTGCAAATATTTTATCCTGATCTCACAGAACCTCCATTATGGTAACTATTGTGGTAGCTTTTTCCTCACCACAATATCCTTCGTGTACTTTTTCTTTGTGTTTTTTCCACTTTCCTTCTTTACACAACTTCTCTACATCACTATTAAACTTCTCCTTGTCTATTTCCTCACCAACATTCACATCCCAACAAATGTACCCTCCTAGAAAAGGAATAAACCAAACCAACACGTATGTATATCAAACTTATACCATTATTTATAAAATTATATAAACTGCCAGAACAACAAAAAATTATTTATTGTTAAACATAAAATCCTAAATGTGGCTGTACATAACTTCATTCTTTTCTACAGTAGGCTCTCACTTGGAAAATAAAAATGAATATTTTTATAAGCACTTAGAAAACAAAAACTTTTTTTTTTCTCATAGGCTTATAAATACGTATTTTGTAACTTTGATTTTAATCTTCATGAAGCAAAGTATCTCTAATTTTTTACATCATGGAAAATGAAAAATATTGATTACTGTGTAAGTAATTGTAGTGTATTAGATATTATAGAAAAACAAAATTAATTTGTTAAATCAAGCATGGACTCCGATTTAGGCCTACCTGGTTTCACAACACGAATCAACTCGGGAAAAATCGTAGAGTCACAATGGTTTGGACAAAATACTCCACTCATTACAGCAGCACTGTAGCTGTCTGTAATATTTAGGAACTCTTATTACATTTATATAGACTAGACATAATAATGCTATTCTACTAATACTAACAAAATACACATCGTTAAACTGATGTTGCAGATGCTTAGAATGGCTTAATCTGTGTTTAACTGAAAAGTTCAAGAACTCTACAACACGTTAAACTTATATTCATTGCCAGTTTCAGGCTTAATATATGATACGTCTTATTAACAGCTAATACAAAAGTAGTATTTTAAAAATATAAAAGATAAAACACATTAGTAGGTTTGTATACGGTACTATGTGAATGTGTATTATAATGACTGTTTAGCTTTTGTTCTTACTCTGCCACCTAATGGTAACAACGCAAATGACACTAATTGATAAAACTAAATTACCTTCAAACACGATATAAATATGTTAAACGTTATTCGTATTTTTGTTAATGAAAACCTTTCAATGGTATTAAATGATTAAAATACAAAGGTACTTATGAAATAAATATTATATTTCCAGTACAGCAACCACTATTAACACTTCCTGTGGATGATACAATTCCTAAGCATACAATCGATCTGATTTCTTATATTGTTGAATTTATGCAATTAATGTCTAGGAACATACCATTTTCAACATTAGGGATGCGAACACCGCCCTTCAAAATAAGATGAATTAAATTATCGTACACGTTTTTCGTTTTGGCTATTTTCAGCATTTCTTTGCTTCCATCCAAGGCATCAATGTTGTTGTACCCATGTTGTTTTAGCTGAAAGTAACGTGAGTTGGAATATCAAACATACCTTTGCATTCTTTTAAAAATAATTGAAAAATATAATAGAAATATAGTGAAGATACAGTTATACTGATTTTAATTTGAGGCACACGTTAAGTTGGTTTAAAAAAAGGTAGTAACTTCATCTGACTTATTTTAGGCCTTGTCTTTCTCTTCACTAAGTTTTAGCCCATTATGCTTTAGTTTCATTCTGACACCGTTATCTATCTATACTTTGCATGTGGCTTTAGATAAGCCCACCAGTCTATATCGAACTACCCATTCAGCGTATAAAGATTGCTAAATTAAAATATCTATTGTTACGTATTAGAATTTCAAATGGCCTGAAATTGAATTAATTGATAAATCTAAATTTAGTAGATAAATTATACTTTATATTTAGTAGTTAAGTAAAAGCCGATATTTTTTGTCAGTTTATGATATTTGCCAACAAGTTTGATACAAACAATTTTCTTTCTTAACACAAATAAATTTTAATGTACATACAACAATACAATCTACAATAACAGTTATTACAAATAATGATTTATAAACAAAAGTTTCACAATCTGACAAGCAATATAAAATCTTCTTTCTAGTCTGGAATTTCTTCGATATCTTATTCATTTGTCACGCGCGCTGAGTCTTCCACAATCAATTTATATAATGTTTTCGTAAAAATACTAATGTCCGATGAGAATCCACTGAAGTTAAATAATTTGTAATGTTCGAATTTTGTAAATGATCCTGGTCAAATATCTTAAGTTTTCCGATTAATAAGCGTTATAAAAGTCACTGTTATAGCTTCCAAAGTTTATAGCACACTGACTATAGCAAACTAATAATAGATACTCGTCGCGTTGGTTTTATTTATAGGCGTGGGAAAGTTTTCTAAAATATTTAGACTACGTAACAATACTAATTAAAGCGTTTACATACACATATATTGTTTATTCTTACTCTCGAGAATCTTCTACAACTTTGGAGAATAGGCGGGAGTTTTGCAATACATATTTAACAGTATAAGTTATGTATGTTTCTAAATATAATTTTAATCTAAACAAATGTTGATGTTAAAATAAATATATAATAACAAATTCGTTAAACTATCAATTAATATATATATATATAATTTCGTAAAGTAATAAAATTTATGTTTTTACCCGTATTTCATTAAACCGACAAAAAGTCAAAAATATGAAAACATTACAGTACCAAGATACTAAGGCTCATCTAGAAAAAGATTTTGAATAGTCAAATTTTACTCTTTGGTTATAAAACCCATATCCTAAAGTTAGACTAGGTATATGTTGTGTTCGGCAACATTTGTATATTAATTTTACCTTCATTTACGTAACACGTAACGATAATAAAACTGAATACTTAATATAATTAATTTTATTTCTATTTATATAAGAATTAAAAACGACTTTAATACAACCAGAAAAATCGGTATAAATACCAGTTTTCCATTGGCTCCTGTCCCAGCCCCAACGTCCAATATTCTACCATTTTTGTCTTTCATAATCTCCATCATATCATTCACAACAAAATTTAAGTGTTGGCAGTAATTTCCGTTTATTAGCTGAAACAAAAATTGAATTAGAGTGTTCTGAGTATCGTAACAGTAAACTAAATCTCGATCTGAAGGATACATTACACAGTTCTTCATTGTAGAAAACATTGTTAGTTTACCTGTTTACTTAGATCATTATATAAAAACTTCGCAATTCTACAGATGGAGTTAAATAGATACACACTAAATATGCACTACCGACACTTGTGTCTAAATTTTTTAAATTATAATAAATAATTAAAAACAACGTTTTATATTTACATAATAAAAACTTTATTGAAGCCGTAGGGCTTCCACTTTAAAAATATCTCTCTACAAGTACATGTTTCGACGTGATCTATTTATTATAATTTTAAGAAATAGATATACACTACTGTGTATAAATTAGAGACTACCGTCCATTATCCTGTGCAAAAGATGTTTGGTTTAGTTTGAATTTCGCACAAAGTTACAACGAGATGAATGCCAAATATTCGAAACAAGCTAGTGCGGGTGCATACAGACCATTGAAAAACATTTATTTCAATTTATAAAAATACAAATTATTTCAACGGCAAGTGTTAATGACAAAAATTATTAAACTCCAACTGTAAGCCTTTAGTTAAATGATGTCATGAGCTGTTGACCGCCAGATGTCATTTCAAGCCAACTTCGTAAAAGTTTCAGTGGTATATGATGGCGGCATTCGAATGTATTCATTTGGGGTTGTGAAATGACAATGTAAGAAAGAAATAAGGAAGATGTGAGGGAGTTAGTTTTACCTTGTGTTGGTGTTGGAAAAAGCTGATGTCAGAAACATTCTCTAGACTCCTAAGGTTAAAAGTCTATATGAAAATTAGAAATTAAAGACCAGTGTTAGCGAAGTTTTTGTAAACACAACGTTTCTGCAATATAACTAAATGTAAACAGATTTGCATCAAAAACTACAAATGAAAATGTCTTTTGTTTCTTCGTGTTTAAATGCATAGTTACAAAAGGGCTATCTGCGCTATACCCATCACAGGTATCAACCCCGCTGTTTTAGCGTATATGCCTTCAAGACAGAGTAGTCGGTCACAATACCGCGCAACACCCAAATGCTGCTGGAGTGTGTGCAAAAATGTTTTATCTGTTTAATAAAGGTGGCTGAAGGCCGCTTGGAGGGGTCACTAGTTTCAACCACCCGCACCACTATACTGTAGTGTATTGTCTGTCAATCACTCAGTGTACGCTGAAACGATGTCACATAAGGGGCGCTTAACTTTGCAAGTTGTACTGTCGTAACGTCAGTAAAAGTGCGCATATCATGAATCACGAGAAAAATTATGCAATCTGTAGGCTAGACCACAGCAGGACATATGAACTTCAAACGTAATGATATAAAATGTAATGATATAAGTTGTTAATCAAGAAAGACAACATAAATCGCCTAAACTTATAAACACCAACTAAAATGAAATAAATCTTCCAACTATTTCTTTATTATAATTGAAACTGTAACTACCAATAACACACCTTTTCATAATCATCTGCGTGTTGGTCATATATTTTGCATGAATCCTCTGGAGTCATGGTCCCTTTATGGGTTATTTCATACAGCCAATAAAATTCCTTGTCGTCGTCGTGATCACCATGGTAGTGGTCATGATGGTGATGAGTATCAGCATGATCGCTGTGATCTCCACGTTGAAATCCTGGACAGTGTTCATCAGGCTTCTCTCCACAGGTATGGAGCTTACTATCATTAGATGACATATCGTTTTTGTTTTACGCAAACAAAAATAATAACAAAACCTTTATATAGCAAGGTATGTACAGGAACACCTCCCTCCCAAGGCTGTACTTGTAACGTGCAAGTTATTTTTTGTTCTTCAACAGTTGTTATGCTCAAAGAACTTGTGTACCTATCAAAATATAAAAATCATAGATGACATTGTCCTTTTCAAAGATATTAACATGATGAACAAAAACTTTAGAAGTACAGCTACTGATTTAACGACGTATAAAACCATTGTAGTTCAACTAATTCGCACAACTTTATACTCTTACTTTAGCATTTCTGTAAAATAGTTGTTTAGAAAACTAAAGATACACATTTTCTTCAGCTACCTAATTAAACAATACTGTTAGTGTTTTAGTGCACAACTTTATACTCCTGTACACTTTCTACACGCGAGTCGCTTACCTACAGGTACGTAGCAGCAGGAAAAACTGCTTACACCAACATGATAAAAACCTATACTAACACTTCACAGCAGAACAAAAAACTACAAGTGAACAAAAGTCGCTTTACTAACTTAACATGGATTTACTAGATGTTGTACATTAAAAACGGAAACAAAAATCTATTATTTTCTTCATTTAATAATCGTGTTAAAACTACATACTTATTTTGAGTTAAATGTAACTTAAATAAATTACCTCAACCGGCCAAACGGAGAACATCTAACCTGTATGCTTCTTTTCATCCAAGCTCTATGCTAGTTACACTATGTACGTGTGTATGGTAAGTCAACCAATCGGTGTACGACTGGCGTACTGACGCACTGTATATATAAAAAAAACAACTTGAAGGTCGATTTCTCGGTAGTAGTACATCGAGAGTTCACCTACTTATTGGATATGTGCGGTAATGTTAGTGTATAATATGAAAGTCAACGTAGCCACATCTCAAAAATAAAAGTCTCACATGTTGTAACCAGACTCACTCTGTTCATTACAATAGCACAGTTACTGACAGAACGATGGTAATACCTCAACATTTCCAACTGCTACTTACAGTTTACAGGATAAAATAAAGTAAGAGCTCAACAACTATT